ATATAATATTCTACAACCCCCCCAATTTTACCCCGCAGATTTATTTCAATATGTCACTATATCAAAAGACGAAAGAAAATATTACCCGCCAAACCCGCTAGCGATATTAAAAAAAAAAAAAGAAAAAAAAAAGAATCTCGTTTAGCGTAGTTATCGGAAATTTTATTTCGTGAAATCAGTGTCATCATATTTCCTTCGTATCCCATCTAAAAACTTATTTTTAGGGGTTGGGGCTACACATTTGAATTAATATGTTGTTACGCACTGGCTTCTATTGTGAGAAATTCAGTGGCGTAACAACGGCTTGGCATTGGGGCAGTTACCAAGGGCGCCGGCCTGCGCCAGTTCAAAAGGGCGCCGCTAAATCTCTAATTTTTAATTTTTTATTTAAACAAAAGGGCGCCAAAAATAAATTAGCCAAGGGCGTCAAAAACTCAGTTACGCTCCTGGATAAATTAATCTCTTGTTTTAAGTTATGGCTCGTTCACACAGTGCACAACTGTTACGCACTGACTTGTATTGGGAGAAATTAATCTCCTATTTTAATTTTAATTGGCTCGTTGTAAACAGTGCCTAACAAAGGACGATACCATAGAATCAACAACATTAAAGATACGACCCAAAACAGTTTCTAGTTACAATTAATTAAGATTTATTAAGTCTTGAGATAATTACAAAAGAAAAGAAAATATAATTACAATCTTCAACTTACAGTATGGTAGATCTTGTACCGGTACACAGTTAACACAGTTAGAATAATGTGCCAATAAATAATGCGAAATAAACACATATGAGCTCACAAATACACAAAGAATAAAACACGCCTCGTAAAGTTAATAAAATCTATCTGAATCTCTGTCTCTTCGTATCTGTCAATCCTTTATATGCATGTAGCGTAAGACGCTTCCAGAAGGATCTATGACGTGTTGTTTACATATCTCGGGTTAAGAAGTACATTCGAGAAGATACCCGGAGACATTCTACCCAATGCGTAATTGGAAGCCGATTGTAAACAAGATAAATCAAAGAGATTTAACCACGCCCACAACAGATGTTACTGTCTGCTAGGAGTGTACTACGAGGTCGAGGAAAGTTCACGCACAGGAAATTGTGCTACATAACAACAACAAAGGAGGATACCATAGTAAAATACAATAATTAAATTACGTCACGCAAAAACAGTTTCCGATTACAATTAGTAAGATTTTATTTAGTAATAATACGATTACAAAACAATAGAAATATAATTAAAAATCATCAACTTAAAGAGTATGGGAAAATCTTGTACCTGTACACCATTAGTACAATGTGCCAATTAATAATGATGAATGAAGAATGCGAATAAACACATATGAGCACACAAAGAATAATGCACGTCTCGTAATGACCAATGAAATTTTGCATTTTTCTTTAACATATTACTTAAAGGAGAAGCAATAACTGAGAAATATTTGCAACATTTTCTATAGTAACCTAACATTCCAAAAAATCTCATTAACTGTTTTCTAGTAGTGGGTGGTGGAAGTGATACAATAGCATTTGTCTTAGCTTTTGTTTTTTGAAAATGTCGATTAATTTGTTTTGAACAGTAAATTACAAAATGTCAGGATGGGTAAATGGAGAGAAGTGCCGAAATCTCATCACTCTTAATCCAGAGCATGAGCAGTCAAAGCTTCACAAAGAGCGCTACATCAAGTGGTGTGAATTGGCCATCAGAGTGAAGACAAACTAATCTGTCGAGTCAATTTTAAGTGATCAAACCTTAAGTGAAGCTGCACGATGGAGATCAATTCAGAAACAAAATTGGATGTCATAATGTTTCTGGGTAAACGTGGATACGCTTTTCGTTGCAAATCTGACCTGACAGGTGACCCCCACACAATGGACATTTTTTGAGGATTGCTGGAGCTGATTTGCCATTAATGATGCTATTCCCAAGGAACATGTGATTCATACTTACCAGTCACAAAAAAAAAAAAAAAATCGTTAATGACGTCAATTCCATGATCACTCTAATCGGCCTCAAATGAATTTGTTGGTTTTCGTGCTGGTAAAGTTGGTAATAAGTTTGCTTATTCCCAAGGAACATGTGATTCATACTTACCAGTCACAAAAAAAAAAAAAAAAATCGTTAATGACGTCAATTCCATGATCACTCTAATCGGCCTCAAATGAATTTGTTGGTTTTCGTGCTGGTAAAGTTGGTAATAAGATTGCTTATGAGAGTGAATCAGCCAAATATTTCTCAATAATGGTTTATACTATATGTGTCTGCAGAACCTGAAACTTGAGAGTTTTCCTTAGAGGATAGATTTTCAACGTTAGACGATTGTTTAACACACATTGTATCTGATGGGGCCGAATCGGTCCTTGAGACTCTCAAAGAATTGAATATTCTTTTTGGATTGCCGACGTCAGGGATATGACAATGGTGAAAACATGGCTGAAAAGTATAAAGAAGTTCAAGCAATTCTTCTCAAGCGAAATCCCTGGTGTGGCTTCTGACCATGTGGCTGTCACTCATTGAATTTATGTGGATTGAATGCAGCTTCAAGCTTGACTAATCCTGAGAAATTTTTTTGGAGATGTTTAAACAATGAGCCACACGAAGAAGTCCATTTGAGAAGATAGGCCGTTTTCCATGTTATTGGTTTTCTTTTAGCTGGACTCACAGTACGTTTAACAGGCGTTCAAGAGAACTCAACTATAGATGTTCAGATCCTTGTGGAATTATACCCCATTTGGTCTGAAGCGTAAAATGGAAGTTCTTTGCTTTGCCTTTTCCGTGCCATATTTTTCTGATGTTCATGAAACTGGCGTGTTGGAATAATTCTCTCATTTAAAACAAATTCAGCCAGCCAGCTATGGAGCTACCCTCTTTCTCCAAACTGAACATAATTTCACCATTTAAGCTGTGCTAAATTTTCGGATATGTGATCATCGCCTTGCGTATTTTTTGTTCAACTCCAGTAACTGTTTGCAAAAAATGGATAAACTAACTTAAATAACTGTATTTTCTACACATTGATAGTGAAAAGGTTGCTGTAATTTAACTCTAGTGTTTATAAGGTAACGCCTGAAAGAGGCTTGAGCCAGAACCACAACATTCAGACCACTGGAGATTTTGCTTTTAATGTGATGTTAATTTTTTTAAAGGTTAAAAAACAAATTACGAATGTAACTGCACTGACACACACGATGGACAATTTCATTTGCTCAGTAACTTTCAACATTTAAGGTAAGAATATGTAAATGCCCAACTGTTAAGGGCAATCGACATAATTTGCAATGGTAAAAGGGAAGACAGGTAATGTTGAAA